CAAATGCGACGCCTCTTCGGCCGTCTTCCTTATGCATTGTCCAGTCTTCACAAGCATCTGAGGCCATTGGAAATGCTGTGGGTGGGTCTGGCACACCCGAGTCCTCAAAGTGACACTTGGACTCTTTCACACTTTAAATAGCTCTTGGACTGAAAATGTTCCCAGTGCAATATGTCATTTGATTTATGGACTCCTGCTTCCATGAGCATTGATTGTAGATTCAAGCAAAACGAAATGTCAATCTTTTCTCCATGTTTCATGATGTTGTCTACTGGTCCAGTTGTGAGGAATTTGAATCTGGAAATTTTCTAGATTCATATGTCGCACCATCCCATGTTCTAATCATTAATGGATGCTTGCAATGCTTTCTTCCTATTTTCAGTTGTGCTCTATTGGCAGATGAAGGTTCCCAATGTTTATCTTCATCTGCATTAAGTTCAGCTTGACTTTGAAGTAGCAGCACATCCTCAGGTATCTTTGAATGCCTCCCAACATGAGGGTTCCATCTCTAGCAGTATAACAGGTAATGTTCCACTACTACTCTAATTTTTCTTCCTAGTCAGATCTCAGTCGGGAAGCTCCACAAATACCTCTTCCCCATGTGTGACCCTCTTAGAATTTGAAGTATCAGTTATATAGCTTCCACCATCAAAGCAAGCCACCACAGTATGGCAAACTGACAAATTTGTGGTGGATGCATCCACCATTTTCAATTACTTCATATTCATAAGAGAACATCAGACAGTGTAAGATGGCAAGATAATAATAATTTATAAATTATCAAGGATTCATGAGGGAGAGGAGAGCAGGGAGGGAGGGGGAAAATGAGGAGCTGATACCAAGGTCTCAGGTAGAAAGCAAATGTTTTGAGAATGATGATGGCAACAAATGTACAAATGTGCTTGACACAGTGGATATATGTATGGATTGTGATAAGAGTTTATGAGCCCCCAATAAAATAATTTTTTTTAAAGTTGGACAATGAATGAAGGAGGCAAAAGAATTCCACAAGAACAAATATCTGAATTGGAAGAATTCCACTCAGGATGCTCCTTAGAAGCAAAGATAGCAATTCTTCAAGGAATGTAGGTCTTTAGACATGGATCAAGAAGGACCAGCCCCTGAAGAAGGACATATGCTTGATAATCAGTGAAAAGAGAAAGATTTTGAACAAAATGGATGGACTTTTTAGGTAGCGACACCATGAACGGGCTCCAGCACAGCGGAAGTTGTGAGGCAGGCCTAGGATCAGGCCGTGTTTGGTTCTATGGTACACAGGGTTGTGGTAAGTCACAGCCAACGTGAGAGCATTGAACAAGAGAGACAGGCACAGGAGAGAGGTTGCTGTCAGATATGGAGATTTTAGAGTTATTCATGCAGACCCGACGATTTGCTGTTCAGACAACTCCAACTCATAATTAAGGACCCCAATCAAGCCCATTGTTATCAGTTTGTTCCCAATCATCGTGACCGCACATGTGACAGAGCGAGACTTCTCCACAGGATCCCCTTGGCTGTAATTTTATGGAAGCAGATCCAAATTAAACAGCAACCACCACCACCACTCACTGTCAGCAAGTCAATTCCAACTCATAACAGCCCCAGAGGGCAAGCTAGAACTGTCTCTGCGGGTTTCTGAGATGGAACTCTTGATGACAATGGAAAGCCTCATCGTTTTCCCACGGAGTAGCCAGTGGTTTCAAACTGCTGACCTGGAAATTAGCAGCCCAGTGCACAACCACGATACCACTAGGATTCCTCTGAAGCCCTTCACCAGGCCTTAATCCCAACATGCTGCTGAATGAATTCAAATCACCAACGTTAGATCACTATTGAAGTGCAAATCATTTGCATCACCTCAGGACCTTTCAATTCCTGAAAAAACTGAAATACCAACCCTAGGACCTTGAAGGTGATTCCAACTCATAGCAGCTCTACAGGACAAATGTGAATGGTCCCGTTTGGTTTCTCAGGCTGCAAATCGTGGAAGCAGTCTATCACATTTGTTTCCCATGGAGTGATGGGTGGCTCGAGATGAACAACTTTCCATTTAGCTTCCCAGCAGTCAAGTGCTCCTCAGTGAATTCTCACTGCCATCAAGTTAATTCCAACTCCCTGTCGCCCCACAGGACAGAATAGAACTGCTTCCTAATCTTTACAGAATCTGCAGCAAAGCAGATTGCTTCCTCTCTCTCCCACAGTGGGTCAGTAGATTCCAATCGCCATCAGTTAGCAGCCAAATATTTAGTCCACTGCACCACCCATGAAGGCTCCTCTTTAATGAATACAGCTCTACATTCTCTGCCATTGGGTCAAGTCCAAGTCATAGAGACCCTCTAAGACAGAATAGAACTGCTCTCTATTGTTTCCAAAGCTGCAAATCATTGTGGGTGCAGACAGTCTCGTTTTTCACAAGAGGACCTGCTGGTGGATTTGAACTACTGACATTATAGTTCACAACATGTAAGTCACTATGCCCCCAGGGCTCCTGGCTCCATGACTATTAGGAGCTAAAGAAGATCTCACAAAGCAAGTGAGTGTAGTAAAATTCTAAAGGTGAGACCCTAGTAAAAATCATTATAGGAGAATATTTTAAAAAGAAAAGAAAGAGAAAGAACAAAGTAAGGGAGTAGGAAGATTTTTCAGAAAAGGGGTGGAGGTGGGGGTAAGGGGAGGAGAAGGGGTTAGAGAAAAAAGGTGTTTTCAAGAAAAAGTGGACGGTTAGGAATGTTTGGATCATGAGGCTCAAGGCTTAAGAGACTAGATTTAGAAGAAATATGGGCACTTTCTCCCTCCAGGATATCAAGGAAAGCAGGGGGAGTGAAGATGGAAGTAAAGGACAGATAGGTCAAAGAATTTGTTTAGTTGCGTGTTGTATTCAAGAAATAGGAGGTTGAGACAGATGTTGATATAGAGTGAAAGAAAAGTATGGAAGCATAGTGTGGTATGAGTTTTGGAAAGTTTCCAGAGAGAAACAAGAAGTTGCAAGCTCCTATCCAATGGAAGCCGAAAGTGTTTATTTTCTGCACATGCAAAATCAGTAGTTGAGCAGGAGTGTCCTGTGTAAGTGTACCCAGGACTGAAGATGGCTAGGAAGAAAGCAGGAAACTGTTGAAGATATAGAAGAAACCCTCTAGAATGTTGGTGCCTCTGAAAGAGATCACATTAGAAAATCTTGGATAAAGTGGGAGAAAAATAGGCAGTGAAATTCAAAATCACAAAAAAGACCATATTTACTGTTCTGATAGAGATGGGTAGAACTCCCTAGACTGCTGGCCTTAGTCAGTAGTCACCCTTCAAATCTGGAAATGAACTCTCCCGCATAGATCAATTTTCAGCCAAACTAAAGATAGGTCTATAAGGGAAACAATTAACATTAGGGAGGTGTGTATTTAGAACAATCCACCATTGGATATCAATTGGGCAATATTTACCCAAGGACAACATTCAGAAGGGTTAAGAAAGAAGGCAGAATGAAAACAAGAAGCACAGAAGAATGAAGTAAATGATGTTACAGTGTGAGTATTGCAATCAATAAGATGAAACAACAGCAGTATGACTTGTTAAGTAGAAAACTTATCTACTTAGCACACCTTCACCCATTTCACAATGAAAAGTTATTTTAAGAAGTTAATGAGGGTATGATTGAAATAACAAATGTCAAGTTCTTGGGTAAGTTAAGCAGAAGGTGAGAGCCAAAACTATAAGACACAAGGGCCCCAAAACCAGGAGACCTAGCTAACATCTGTAGACATCAACGAGTTTGAAGAGCAGTTTAGAAATAAAGGCCACAACTAATCTGTAAGACATCTGTTTTGAAGTTCAGGTGGACTGTGAGTTGAGTTATTTGGGTAGACCTTAGACGTTGAAGTTTATCCTGTCTCGAAGAAGTATGATATTAAAACAATCATGTTTGTAATTATTACTTCCAGAGCAATGCTTTGCAATTTACAATTTTATTTTAACTTCATAAAATGGAAAGAACAAGATTTACAATTCGGTGGCTGTTAGAACACTATCTGTCAAAGGTGATTTGACATATCTTTAATATTAAATCTCTTGGCTCTAATCTTTATGGGAGCCGGTCACGAGGCAGTCCTATCGCTATCACGAGTGTTTTGTGGCTTTTGTAATCCTTAGACCCATACAAACAACCAAACCCATACCACCGGGTCCATTCTGACTCAGACAGAGTAGAACGGACATGAGTTTCCGAGGGCTGTCATCTTTATTGAAGAAGACATCACAGCCCTCTTCTGTGAAGCAGCTAGTAGATTTGAACCACCAACCTTCTGGTTAGCAGACAAATGCTTAATTACTGAACCACCAGTGTTCCTTTTAGACACAATAAAACATATTTTAAATTCCAATCAGAAAAACATAAAGGCAGTTTTATAATAGAAAGTTAATAATGTGTTTCGATCACATACTAGTTTCTAGTTTCAAATTTCATAGTTCGTTATCTCTTTCAGAGAAAATTTGCACTTAAGTTCAGGCCTCTCCATGGCCGGTGAAGCAATGCTGCCACGGTTTAGACCTGCCTTGGCATCCACTCAATTGAATAACATTTCCAAGTAGATTTTATTTTTCATTTGTGTCAATAGCCTTCTCAAGCATTTGTTATCTTTCAGCTGGCTATTCAAATTCCTTGTGAAGTGGAGACATAAGAACCGGAGTAAGAAAATGGCATTACAAACCTGGGGAGGCTTATTTCCACCTGCTCTTCCTGCATTTCAGAAAACCATTTTAGGATTTGACGAGCAGTAATTCGTTTCCCCACTTCCTCAATGTCAACATTTTCTTCAGGAAGTATGATGATCAGACTAAGTTCATTGCCCTTGTAAGGTAATTCCAAAACCTGGTAATTCATAGAAGCCTCTGAAAAATAGCCTGGAACAGAGGAAAGAAAGTAATCACTGCCATTAGCTATTCCCAAAGCCAGGCTTTGAGAATGAGGTTTCGCACGTTACCGTATCTTGTTCTCAGAAGAGCTTTCATCGTGGGTATCTGGACAGCAGAGCCATCTTGCTGAGTGAAATTCATCAGCTGTGTATTCTCCGTTCTGAATTTTTGTTTCCAATCTCCCTTGAAATAAATAGCATTAACCAGGACCAGTCGAGTCAAAGGGCCAAACTCTTCCCCTGAAAACATGTCTTTAATTTTTCCTGTCATGTAGGTAGAGCAGGTGATAAGAAAGAAAGAAGAAATGATGCTTCAATATAATTGCTTGAAAAAGAATTAAAGCAAAATATCTTTCTGTAGATCAGTTATGGACAGAATAACTAGGTAATTTATGGTCTAAATGTGCCCAATTTGAGAGCAGAGGGAGCACTATGAACTCCACATGGGCATATGATCAGCTTAGTGATAGATAGCCTTCCTGTAAGGATTTATTTGTGCCGGTCATCTTTCAGAAAGAACAAAAAGCCAAAGATCTCTTCCTACTCAGTAGTATTCATTAAACTTTATGTCAAGGTTCATAAGCAAGTCAATCACAATGAACAAGTCAATGGCATGCCCAAACTTAGCAAGCTTGTGGCTGTAGCCTTTAACCACTGAAAAGGGACAAGATAAATGGCATGATGTCCATTCTCCAAGCCACTAATCCTCCGTCTCCAGGTCCAGAAAGTATTTCTGAGTTAGGTATCATAATTGATACCACTGTGCTCTCCTCAGTGTGCCCTGGTAATCGGACTTTCTTATGAATCTGCTTACCACTCCCATCGCACCCAGTTTATGCTTCTCACATAAATGATGCCCTCACTTCCTACACTCTGACATCCGCATGTGTTGCAGATGACTGAACAAAGAAACTACTGTTAGCTGTTGACTGGTGCTTTTCATTTTGCATGCATTGTTATCAAACCTTCCAGTAATCCTGAAATATTTTAGTACAAACTTCATTTTAAATGGGGGCATAGTTTACAACTAACTGGTATTTGAACTTAAGCTCTGGGTGGCTTTAAGCTGTGTGGTGTTCCTACTACATCCCTGTGTAGTCCCCTTGAAATTTTTGTCTGTTTGTATGTAGATTACCACCGTAATAGGATAAGACTATCAACGTGCATTATTAAACATTACCACATTCAACAAAGATGTGTTAATTATTTACAGAATATGTGGGAAAGAAAGCATTTGGGATTGAAATCCAACTTTTAGCTGGTAAAAGATGTTCATTCTGCCGCCATCCTTGCAGAAAATCTATGCTTGAAGAAAAATCATTTAAAATGATTGTATTAGGAATTTAAAAAATAGATTTCACTCCCCAAACAAAACAAAACAAAAAAGGAATATGTATACTTTTCAAATAGGTTTCTCTAAGTTTTATAATTTAGGGTTGATTTGAAGAACAGGGAACTGAAATTAGAGATGTGATTCCGCTGATCCATAGTTTAGGTGGAAACATTTTGGCCATTCTTTAGATATTACAAACCATGAATACAATGACAAATAATGATTTAATAACAAACGGGAAACTTTACCATTTGTTTTGCTTTCTACCCAGGTACTTATTGCCTCTGCACAAGCCTTTGCATCCTGAAAATCCACCAGTTTTATAGCACTCTGGAAAAAATCCTTGTTGCCATGGAGATACTGTTCTTTCACAGTGAATCCTTCTTGAAGGTAGAGGGCATTGGCAAGATTAAATGTAAATTCTTGTTTTTTCTCTGAGATGGCAGAGAAAAATGACTTCAGCGCAGAAAATTCTTCTCCTAAAAAATAATTACAATGTATACTGACATATTGCACAACATCAAAACAACAGCTTCTCAGTTTTGTATCTAAGGGCTCTGATTCAGATCACCATTTTTTGTACCCTTAGGTATAAATAACAATCCTAAGTTAGTATAAATATTTTAAGAATTTTTTTCCTGCAGAAAGATGCATTTTTTGAGAAATCAACCTTTATAGAGAAAGAATGTCTATGCGGATTTGAAATTTGTCAAAAACAAAAATATGTACTCATACAAGTTAAAGGCAGTTCTTTCCTTAGAGTCAAATGTAGCTCATTTTTGGTCATTGGAAATTTACATACAGAATCTTCTTCTCCACATAATATGTTCATGAGGTATTTATCAAAGGGGGATGTTAATAAATGCTGATGGGGTTTGACAGTGACAATGATGAGCAATCCTTTTCAATATTACTTTTATGGCAGTGTAAGAAAGCATTGCTCTCTATAAGCAACTGAATGTGTCTACATTTTAAAATTTATGAGGCAATCCCTATAATCATCTCTAGATGCGTAAGAATCAGGATCGCCTATTTTTCCAGGTCTGTTAACCTATATACTTTGGCTGTCTACAAGAACAATAAAGATCTTTAACCATTCCAGTTAAACCACTAGCTAAATGACTCAGTCAGACTCAACTAATAAACTCACCTTTGGCCAATTATTTATTGCTGGACTATTCGGAACACAATGTTGTCACAAAGCTGCACATGCTTAAGAAAGGATTTTACTGTGGTATTTTGCTTGGTAGGCTCCTATTTATTACCAAAGGTTGCAAATATATTCATTCCTTCTGCTCAGTCCTGGAACTCAATCAATTCTTAAGAATTCTATATCAAGCAAAGGGTTCTTTCAGAGCCCTGGCTATATTTTTCAATGGCTGTTATTGTTGCCAGGTGTCATAAAATATCAAGTAGATTCCAGGTCAGAGTGACCACACACAACAGAGTCGAACTTCCCCAAGAAGCTTTCTGGGCTGGAATTGTTAGGGGAGTGGTTGATTGCTAGATCTTTTTCCAGTAGAGCCCCAAGGTAGCTTTGAAATCCAATCTTCTTCTTCTTTTTTAAAAATCATTTTACTGGGGGCTCATACAACTCTTATCACAATCCACACAACCATCCATTGTGTCAAGCACATTTGAACATTTGTTGCAATCATCCTTTTCAAAACACTTGTTTTCTCCTTGAGCTCTAGGTATCATCAGCTTCTCATATTTTTCTCTCCCTCCTCCACTCTCCCTCCTCATTAACCATTGATAATTTATAAATTATTATTTCATGACTTATACTGACCAATGTCTCCGTTCACCCACTTTTCTGTTGTCCATCCCCCCATTGTGATTGGTTCTCCCTTTTTCCCCTCACCTTTCCCTTCCCCCATGCTATGGCTGCTCTCAATATTGGTCCTGAGGGGTTTATCTGTCCTGTATTCCCTGTGTTTCCAGCTCTTATCTGTACCTATGTACATGCTCTGGTCTAGCCGGATTTGTAAGGTAGAGTTGGGACCATGAGAAGGGGGAAGCATTGAAGAACTAGAGGAAAATTGTATGTTTCATCCTGACTGACTGGTGTCCTCCCCACGGCCCTTCTGTAAGGGGATGTCCAGTGTCCTACAGATGGGCTTTGGGTCGCCACTACGCATTCCCCCTCATTCACAATGATATGATTTTTTTGGTCTGGGTCTTTGTTGCCCAACACCTGATCCTATTGACACCTCGTGGTCACGCAGGCTGGTGTGCTTCTTCATGTGGGAAAAGCCAGTCTTTTAGTTAGCATCCCCGCACTTAACCAACGTACTTTCACATCAAGAAAGTTAAACATATTTACTTTAAAAAACAGAAGTGGTTCATTATTGGAGGTTATTCAAATAGTTTCTAAAAAGATACTAAAGAAAAAAACTTACTACTAGATAGCTATTAGAAATTGTGGAGATCAAAGCCATGATCCAGTCAATCAAAAGAACATTTCCTTGGGAGTACGGTCTGCTTCCAATATAAGTGGATGCTGTGGAAACACTTGCTTGTTTTGGTTTTGCTTTTTTTGCTGGATGTTGATCCTGCACCTGACTTATCAACCTCCTATTCTTTAGACTCATGCAAACTACCGGCTATATTTGTGTGCTAATTCTGGCAGTCATTAGCAGCCATCTAAATGTGGATCCATTCGCCTCTAAAGCCAAAAATCTGTCATCTTCCAGTCAATCTTGGGCTAATCAGTCCTCTGCAGTTACACGATCAGGAGGAGCCTCCAGCCTAACATCTGACACATGGATTTGGCACTTGCCTGAACTTGGACTTGCAACTTCTACAACTGTGTTGTGTGAAATATTCTAATGATATAAATATATATATATATATATGTGTGTGTGTGTGTGTGTGTATATATATAAACATATACATATATAAAAATTATAATTGGCTTTGCTTCTCTAGAGAACCCAACCTAAGACATAGCCAAGTGCTTAACTATCTGTCATCAGGGCTCCCGTGGGATTTATAAGCAATGTTTTTATATCTTTATGTCCTGCTGAATAGTATCTAGGTGGCACAAATGGTCCAGCACTTGACTGCTCACTGTAAAATTGGTGGTTCAAATGCACCCAGAAGCCCTTTAGAAAAAAGGGCTGGCAATCTGGTTCCAACAGGTCGTCGCCCTGACACCCTGTGGAACTCTTCGATTCTGTACACATGGAGGTGCTACAAGTCAGAGTCAACTCAATGACAATTCGTTTGGCTATTTTATATCCCATGCACTTCCCTAAGCTTAAAGACATTTTAGCACCAATGCAACAAAATTAAAATCATTCAAATAAAAGTAAAAATAAGAAATTGTGGGCGTGTGTGCACAGGTGCACTCTATTTTACATAGAACTGGCAGGGCCACCCCGAGCATGACAGCGTAAGACAGCGTAAGAGCATGACAGTAGGTAAGAACAGGCTACATCTCACCAAAGCTGCAACCTTATAGCTTCCTATCTTGTCCAACCGCACATGGCGAGTAGAGTCTGCATTTTGACCTCCACTTGCTCCGTGTACCACTTGTACAGACATGAGGGAGATCCTACAGGGTACAGTTCATTGTGCTCTTCTCAGGCCAAGTTTAGCCATTTATTGGCACCTAGATAGTTTTAGATACAAAATCTTACTTCATTGTGATTGACTCTGAGGAACTTCAGCAATTCTCTACAACCTTGGATTTCTATGCACAAGGAAGGGAACATTTTTATTTATTTTACTTTTTAATGCACTGGTTGCAGAGGTAAATCTTTATGACCATCTGCAACCTCCAAGAATTATCTCCGTAGCTGGGAGGCTAGAGGAGACCTCAGAGTACAGGCACCGGAGCTTTTCTATAAGACTTAATTAGTTGAGAAATGAAGTGGCAGAATTTCAAACCAATTTTCAGGAATTTGTAATTTATGGACACCCTTAAAGGTTTGGGGGAACCAATTAGGGGGGTTGGACCCCTTTCCACCCCTTTTTTCCCGGCAATTGGTTTTTTTTCTTTTCTTTCGGTTGGGGGTTGTTTTGCCAACCGTTCGGTTGCCTTTTGTTAATTCCTTGGGTTCAATTCAGGGGAAAAAATGTCAGCAAGTAGCATAAGGTTGGAGAAGCATATAAAATTATCTGCCTGATCAATTTGATTTAATTTAAAGGTAAATAACCTCTTAGCACATAGTTCAAAAGAACAAATAGTCATGTCTCATAAAAAGCAATGAGAATAAATGTATGTCCTTTCCTAAAATAGAGTCGTGGAGAACTCATTGGTCCTCAGGTGATTGTGGCTCCTTTTATATGTCAACCAGCCCCACAGAAAAGTTAAGTAACTATTTACTTTCTCTGCTGGTATGCGACTTAACGTCAATCATGTGCCCAATGTAATTGATGCAATCTCTGAAACAAAGGTAATGATAGACGTGTAGATGACATTAGTTTAAAGGTGCATGTACAATTTTTCATCGACATGCCTTTTATTAGAATGAGGAATCTGAGCTCCAGAGAGATTAAGTAATTTGCGAAGTGTGGTAACAAGTACCCAAACACTGGGTCATCCAGAGGCCGAGACTGAATTGGAATACATGACCAGTCCCTTCTCAGAACCTGCTTGGAACAAAGAAGTATCTTCACCATAGCCTTTGATCAGCAAGCAATATTGTTAGAGGGGGGAAAATCCCCAGCAAAATGGAAACTATAAATTATGAACAGATATTTTCATAATTAGGGAAAATATGAGAACTACAGACAATGAGAGTTAGAATGCCAAGAGTTGAGTGTCCATCCACAGACAACCCCCACCTCACCCCAGCCTCCTGAATAGAGTAAACCAGGTGTTAATGTGCAACAGTGAGACCGAATCAGGGTATTCGTAGCAGGGAAAGTAAGATATTGCCTGATTCAACAGAACTACCTTTTGAAAATCAGTGGAGAGTTGAAGACAGGGATACTGGAGAACCCATGAAACTCTCACTCTAGACACAAAGTTTAGGAGTCCGTGAGAAAGTATAGTAGTAAAGAAAAAAAATATATAATATTAAAATATATAAAATGTAACACAATCTAGGATTCATAAAATGTAAAAATGGCAATGAAGGAAAACATGAATATTATTGCTTTTTTTCTGTTTCTCTCTGCTCTACCATGTCTCTTACTGTGGCAACTTGCTTGTTGCCAGGATTCTGGCAGCAATGCCACCAGTATTTTAACTACCAGCATGATCACCCACTATAGCGAGATTTCATTGACGCTTTCACACTAAGATTGATCTAGCAGATCTAGTGATCTACTGCCTTAAGAAACTGATCAGTGAACACTTGATGGATAGCAGTTAACATTTTCAGATGCAGTGTCAGAATGGAATACAGTCAGATTGCAACGCACTCAAAATAGGACTTCGAGCTGCTTCCTCAAAGACGAGTCAATCTCAACAAAGTCTTCAGAGCCTTCCTTTGCAGACGGAGCACAGTTCAAAATGGTAAAAAAGAGTTACAAATATACATTAATAAGAAGAATGTTAAATGTCCAAAGTAAGAATCCAAAAAACTGGAAGCTAAAAGTAAAATTGAACACATCAGTATTGATATACCAATTGATAGTGTGCTGGAATGAACTGGTATGAACCATTTTGAATTCAACAAGCACATGTTAAACAATGCTGAGAATCACAAATTAAAGAGGAATAACATCCTATTAAAAAGGAAAAATGTCAAGATATGAAGTACAACACGATTAGTGATCTGGCAATTCTATGCTTCTAAATATAAAACCAGTTAATAATACAGCTGTCATTCAACGTTACACACCAATAACCAACACTAAATATAAAGAAAATGACAAATTCTACCAACCTCTGTATGTAGTCTGAAATTGATCACCTATGCAATCAAGTTGCATTAATAATTACTGGTAATTGAAATGCAGAAGTTTGAAATAAAGATCGGTGGTTGATAAATATGGCCTTGGTGATAGAAACAAGGATAATGGTGAATTCATTGCAGGCACATTTTTTCAACAACATAAAAAACAACTATACACAGGGACATCACTGGATGAAATATATAGAAATCAAATTAACTTTGTGTTAAATGTGTCAAAACATGATCGGAAAAAACTGAAAAATAGACCAACTGCTCATATGTAAATGAATGTTGGAAGAGATAAAAAGGAAAACAAATCCATGACAGCCATTGTATGACCTTAGTCTACCCCACCTGAATGTAGAGACCACCTCCAGGAAAGATGTGACACAATGAATAACTATGACCAGAGACCAGACGTGTTGTGGAACAGCATCAAGGACATAATATGTGACAAGAACAAAACCTCATTGGAAAGACAGGAAATAAAGAAAAGACAAATGTGGATGTCAGAAGAGATGCTGAAGTTTGATCTGAATGGAGACTAGCTAAGGAAAAAAGAGAAAATTATGACATGAAAGAGCTGAACATATTTCAAAGGGAAGCTTCATAAGATTAATAAAGTATTACAACAAAATACGCCACAAAATATGCAGAGACCTACAGTTGGAAAACCGAAAGAGAAAACCATTCTCAGCATTTCTCAAGCTGAAAGAAATAAAGAAAAAAAAATCAAACTTTGAATATCAATGTTGAAGGATTTATTTTATGGCCAAGATTTTACACAGTAAATTGGAGTATCCAGGTGAGAGAGTAGAGCAATATTAATCGTATTTCTTGCAAGGAAAGTTTTGCTGACGACAACTCAAAGATCTTGCAGCAGTTTGATTCAGAAGAGGATGTGCAACAAGGGATATCGCCCCGGATGGACCTTGGCTGAAAGCAGACGATACTGAGAGACGTTTACTAGGGTTTCCTTGACTATGCAAAAGCATTCAGCGATGTGGATCATAACAAACTATGGATAGCATCGAGAAGAATGGGGGTTCCAGAGCACTTATTTGTGCTCATGTGGAACCTTTACATAAGGCAGTCATTAAAAAATAAAACAGAGAGATACTGCATGCTTTAAAATCAGGCAAAGTATGTTGAAAGGCTGTGTCCTTTCACTGTGTTTAGCTAATCTGCACACTGATCAAGTAATCTGAGAAAGTTGGCTACATAAAAAAGGAATGCAGCATCAGGATTGGAGGAAAACTGAATAGCAACCTGTGGTATGCAGACGACAACCCTGCTTGCTAAATGTAAAGAGAGTAGGCATTCATGGATGAACATCAAAGACTACAGCTTTCAGTATGAATGGCCTTCTAACATAACACAAATGCTCCTGGTTTGGACCAGTGCACAACGTCATGAAAAACAAAGAGATGATGGAGGTTTTCAAACGCTGTGTGGCATTGGGCAAATCTGCTGCACAAGACCTCTTGAAAGCCTTTAAAAGATAGGATGTTACTTTGAGGACAGAGGTGTTCCAGACCAAGTGCTCGCAAATCTTAACACCGTGTGTGTGTGTGTGTGTGTGTGTGTGTGTGTGTGTGTGTGTGTGTAAGCTAGACAGACAAATAATGGAGGTCTCTGAATTACAGTGTTTGTGAAGAACATGGGCGGCCAGAAAATGAAGAAATCAAATCACTCCTTAAAAGCAAGGATAATAAAATTGTCTCCTACATACTTTGGGCATGTGAAAAAACAGAATTAGGGGAATAAAATTTTTCCATAGACTTTTTGAATTTCTCTTATGTACGTTTGTATTGTCAATATCACCATTATGATTATTACCATGTTCACGATTCGAGATTCTGATACTTCTTTCTCTATATAAGCTGTATCCATTTAAAGTAATTTAGATTTCAGAAACCCAAATTCCTCCAGTTTATTGTGGAAGTAATATTTCATATCTTCAAAAATGATTTTCTATTTCTCAAAATGTGTTATGTGATTTAAATGTTTCTTGGATGGAGTGATAGGATATACTAAAATTAATATAAACAAACAAGACTAAATTTAGAATATATTGGCCTCATTTTACATTATTCACAAAATAAAACTCATACAATTAACTTGGCTATCACCAACAGAATTTTATTTTCTGCAAAAAAGAAAACAAAACAAAAAAGCCCTGCTTTTATTTCAAGTAAAGCAAATAAAACTTGTAACTAGTTTTCTCAGAAAGCAAAAAACTTTCTAAACATAGCTATTCTATGCTGAGGTAAACATACTGAAATTATAGTGATTTATTTCCCAAATCAAAGATATGTCCTGTGGTATTTAGAACACATTATTTGACATTGATGCAAATGTTAGCCCAAAATCTATTTGCACGTCCCACACAGGGCTTAAGCCTGGAGTGAATCCCCTTTGCCCTGAGACAAGGGGAGTGAATAGCCTTGTTATTTTGCAGAGTGCAGCAAGATGTTTTATTTGTTTTGTATTTTGTGCATGCCTTTGTGGCTGTGGAATCCAGCACAGGTAAAACTAGAGAGACGGTGCCATCAATGCAGTCATGAGGGATGTGCAGGGGGTCTTGAGGGGAAAGAGGGAACTGGTTACAATAAATACAGGAAGAAGAAGATGATCTAAAATTGATTGTGCAGCTCTAAAATGGAAAGCACAACACTTTTAATATGATTGAACCATTGAATTTATATGTGAATTATATACCAGTAAAACTATTAAAAATAAAAAGAACATTATGGAAATTTAGGGCCAAGAATGGCCACAGAGATGCGAGCCTGCCCCTTCAACTGGATGACCCGGCATTAAAGCCACGGCATCTTATTACAAATAGAGCTTTGAGATACTCCGAGGAATCACCACCAACACACACATACACACACCACCGCCTGAGGGGTTAGTTAAATGTTCTTTTCACTACGTTTCCTTTTAAAACTTTTGAGTAAACTTTTAAAATATATGACCTTATGTCTTTGTTTGGTCTCATTTAAGGGTAAAAGTATATTTTTAATTGGAAGCAGAACAAGAGAAAGCAAAGGAAACAGTACTAAATTCACATATAATTCTCTGAGCGAGAGTATTTACTGTAGCATTATTTTAATTAGGTAAATTTTGCACCAACCTATTTTAGAAGGTTTAAAATATAATGGTATTTCCATATAAGGCAATAAAATGCAACAATTAAACATACGTTTTGAAGGACTTGCATGATAGGGGGCAATAATCATGACATAAGTAATAGTGGAGGAATACATGTGTATATGGCTATGTGTATATGTACATGCATGTCTATATGTTTACATGTGTATGTAGACACCCGTTGCCATGAAGTTGGTTCTGACTCGTGGTAACTCCAATGTGGATCAGAGTAAAACGGCTCCAGGGAGTTTTCTATGGCTGATTTTTCTTTTTACAATTAAATCACCAGATCTTTCTCTAAATATAGACACATATACTCTCAATTAATTAAAACCACCTAAAAGAAATGAGGTGACATAAAATATCCAAATACATTCACAGACAACATAATTTCTTCTTAAGTTATTGCTCTGAGAACATCTTCTTTGAGATGCAATTGTAAGGGAAAGAAGCTTATTTAGGAGGCAATTATAAAGGAAAGTATTTGTAATTCCCCATTTTATTAGGATTTTGTACTTTTCATAACATTTTGTACTTTTTATTATTAAAGTGCTCGATGACCTATTTAAAGGTAAGTTTAGTGTTCTGTCATCGAGTATAAATAATCATAGGCACAAATCTTACCATTTGAGTTTTCCTGAAGTTTTAAAGTTTGTCTTATCTGATGCTGTGCTTTTCCTTTTGCTCCCAGTTGTATCATTCCAAGAACTAAAGTCGTTCCCAGGGGGGAAAAGATAATGTTGTTCTTGTGAGATAAACAAATGGCTTGATAAAGATCCACTGCAAATTCGGTGTTTCTTTGAGCCAAGAATGTTGAGGCTTGACTTCCAGAGAAGGTCAGTAAGAGACTCCACCACAAGATCATGTCCATTTGATTTCTGTACAGTATTTAATTCAAAATAGATCCTCTTTTAAAATAACCACATTTTAGCATACTTAAGCTCAACAAAAACCTTCTGATCTCATTGGAATCCTCTGTCTTGTTAGAATTAACTACCACAGTAGTATGCAATGCCAGTTTTCTGACTGCACATCATCTTTTTGGAGAAATAAGCTGGGTTTTAATGGTGGCTTTTCTGCTCCATCAACAAACAGTACAAGACATACTCGTCGTTTTTGAAATAAAGCCAAAGAAGAAATGGTAACTCTGAAATGTTATCTATTTCAATATTATCTCTGAGTAGTTATATGAATTTTTTCCCTTTCCCTTCTCATGGCTTTAAACTAAATATCTCTACCTGTGATAACAATGGAATAGTCTGTTCTTGCTATTCTAATAGGATTTATGGAACAAAAAGTGTCAAGTATGTAATCTAAATATTTACAGCAGTCTTTAAGGCAAAATGTTCAAAAATCCACCTTTTACTTTTCTAAAGAAAATGAGAGAAAAAGTAGAAAAAATTGACAAAAAAATATTTAGACCAAATTATCTGTTTGTGGGTAATCAAAATGGTATTAGGGCATTTAAGACATCAGTTGGCAAATAATTATAACTCTATGCACTTTGTTTATATTAGAATAATTAACAATAATATGAAGGATATAATTTCCCTTGTAGTAGAATTTTTGTATCAGGTTTTCTCTCAAAGCAATTTTAATGATTGAAGTTTGTTATTGAAGCATTGTAGACACATAATGAATTGCAACCTTGCACAAAAATTTGCCTGAAAATTTCACTTACCTCTTTGGGATTAGGATCATATCTCAGCAGAAAGCACAAAATACAGATGAATGAAATAAATCACTAAATAATCCCATAAGAGTTTGACTTTCCAATTGATAGTGACATATTCTACGGAGACTAAAATTAATGCATAGTTTTGGAAACTTTAAATAAATTTGCCATCAAAGTAAATAGCATTCCTCAAGTCTACTAAAAGTTCACAATCAATGCTATGGTATACATTCCTCACGTAAAAGCTATTTAGTTTTAAAGTACTTACCCCAAAGTGGCTTCTGATTATTCCCTGTAATATTGCTACTAAAGTGTACTTTCTGGGAAACACCTGTGTCCCTGGAGCATCTAATATCAGCAAGGCCAGCTCTGTTTGTCATGAAGGTTGTTGATTAATTGCTCTAAAGCCGCAGCAGGTGGTCACTATCTTATAGAAAAGGTCAACATGATCCAGCTGATCATCTATGATGAAATATGCAGGAACTGAGATAAAATACAACACCTTTTTAAAATTAAATTCCTAATGTAATTTCAGCCATTATCCTACTTCTTCCATAATACTAAGAAACAGAATTTGGAAGAATGTGCTCAAAGTTGTAAATTTGCTGGTAATTAGTTCGGTTTGTTTCTCATAGGCCTCCCACATCAGATTACCAATGCAACCCCTCATAAATATTTCAGAATGCCTGTGAGAATAAGAATAAAGCTAAATCACATCCAGAATGCAGAGACAAATTACTGCCGCCTTTACAGAGTTCTCAACAATCCATCAAATTATACAATCATCAGAGGAGTGTCCTGCGGATATAAGGCCCACTTGAGTCCTTAGGAGAAAGATTAGATATTGAAGAAAAATATACTTTATGTTGAGCAAAAAATTAATATTATTAGTGTACCAATTTATAGCATTATAACACTAGGATACATAGGTAGTTTTATAGTGATGTTATTTGTATGTGCTTTGTGATTTTCTATGTGATTTTCTCTGTGGAAGCTCTTGGGCACATAATTGAAGAGGTTTTGATCTCATCCAGCTCAAATCCATTGCCTTGTATTAAACACAATTGTGTTAGGCTGGCTTGTCTAGAGAAACAAAACCAGGTGACACATAGGCATAAGAAAGTAGGAACTTTATATCAAGAAGCAAGTTTATATCAAGAAGGCAGCCGTGCCCAGTCCACCTCAAGTCTATGAGCCCAATGTTAGTTGGTTCCTGCTTCAGCCTCACGAAGCCAAAGGCCTGTGACACAGAAATGGGAAGCAAGACGCAGGAAGATCACAGGCTTGTGGTGCAGAATCCATGGATTCAAGGTCAATGGAAGCATGGCAGGGCTCTAACAGCTCCCAAGGAGCTCCCAGGAGACCACCCCTAAAGGTAGACACACAGTCCCTGCAAGAGGGAGGGTGAATGGCAGCGAGAAGAACACAGTTCCTCACTCTCTCTCTTATAGAAAAGGCCACGCTAACCAGGAGGCAGCATTGGACCATGACCTGATTGCCACCATTTACTGGAGCCGCTCAGAAAAGAATGAGCACATTGACTGAGTTAAATGAAACCACAGGTCACTACTGGCCATCACGTGCAATATAAATTTTGATGGTCTTGTTGTTTCTGTTGACTGCTGGTCCGGCACCCTGGCTCATGTCAACCTCGTGTGTTGCAGAGTGAGCTACGCCATAGGCCTTTTTCACTTGTGATTTTTTAAAATTAAATAATCATTTTATTATGGGATCATACAACTCATCACAATCTGTACATACGTCATTTGTGTCCAGCACATTAGTACATATGTTGACTTCACCATTCTCACAACACCCGCTTTCCACTTGAGCCCTTGGTGTCAGCTCATTTGTTCCCCGGCCTCCCCACTCCCC